CAGTGCTGGGACATAATGTGAAATGTCCTCCTGTTGTTGGTCCAGAGGTAACGGGCTCTCCTGGCTGTTTTCTGAATGTGTTGCTCGGTTGTGTAGGTTCCCACCAGTCAGCAGAAGGAAGGTGTCTATGACGTCCCAAAGCGACACCCAGTGAGTGAGCTTGTGTCTGCCCAGCCTCCCCCTCTCAGACAAACCTCTCAGTGGTCCCAGCAGAGCTCCCAGTAAACAACCTTCTCTGGTTTGACGAGAAGCTGTGGTTCTGCTGAACGCTCGTCCACAGGGTCTCTGGTTCTGCTCCTGAGAGGTTTGCTGGGAACCAGTGCCTGTGCTGTGGCCAGTGGTGGCTGTTCTCCCTGTGCTGCTTGCTTTGTGTGGTTAACTGGAACATTGTGTGTTTGAATGTCAGAGCWTGTGTGGTTGTGGTTAAAAACCTGCATGTCTGTATTCATCCTGCATCGAACTCATGCTTTGTCTCGTATTTAAAACCTACAGATGAGTCCAGATGTGCATGGCATCATTTTCATCTGTATTCCAGCTCGTTCTGTTCTAAAGGTGTATATATGCTGTGTGTATTTCTTGTTAGTGTGTTAAATGTTGAAGAGTGTCTTCCAGACAAACTGCCTGCCTACACAATGAAAGATGACCTGTCAGGCTGCACTACATCTGCTTTTTATCTGTGTATAAAGCTGTGCTGCTGCTTGATTAAACGTGTGTGACTGCACGCAGCCTGCAGAGGCTTAGAGAGCTGCAGTGTTGCTGTGTTCCTCCATCAACACCTAGAGCTCAGCACATCTCTGCAGAGTTCTCAAGACTGGCTTTGTTTTCCTTAAACTGGCCCCACCATCACCAGCAACAACACACACACAGCTACACTGCCCTCTGCTGGCAACAATCTGTGAGTTTTTTTCTTTCCTGACTGATTCGACAGGGACAGACACACAGTAACATGTGCTGCTCATTATTCCCACAGTTGGTCAGGAGCTCACACACACTGGACTGTTTGTGTTTGTTCCTCGTCCTGCTCCAACACATGATGAGCTTTAAACTTGTTTTACTGTTTGTAGGTTTAAACACAACAACTCCACTGATGTGTGAGTCCGTCACAGCTGGACTGGACCCGACCTGCAGTTAGCATGGTTCCCCTCAAGAGACCTCTGTTGTATTAAGTACCACAAAGTCATACTTGAGGATACTTTGGTAAAAGTTAAAGTGTCATTTAGGAATATTACTTGAGTAAAAGTCTTAAAGTATCTGATATTTGTTGTAGTTAAGTATTAAAAGTCAAAGTAACGATTTAAAATGAGCAGTTAGATTTTCTG